AATTCCTTTAGCTTTTTCTTTTAAAGAAAAAAGACTTTATTTTTAGAGAGAGGGTTAGGGAGAGAGAGGGAGAGAAATATCGAAGTACAAGAGATACATTGATCAGTTGCCTCTCATACACCCCCAGGGGAGGACCTGGCCTGCAACCCAGGCATGTGCCCTGACTGGAAATTGAACCAGCAACCTTTTGGTTCGCAGGCAAGCACTCCATCAGAATAGCCAGAACTCCTTTATCTTTTTCTGTCTGGGAAGCCCTTTATTTCTCCTTTAATTTTAAATGATAGCCTTCCTGGGTGGAGTAGTCTTGGTTGTAGTTCCTTGCTTTTTATCACTTTGAATATTTTGTGCTAATACCTTCTGGCCTGAAAAATTTCTGTGGAGAAATCAGCTGACAGTATTAAGGGAGTTATCTGTCTTTTTCTTGCTGCTTTTAAGATTCTCTCTTTGACTTTAACCTTTGGTTTTTGTAATTGTCATGTGTCTTGGTGTGGGCCTCTTTGGGTTCATCTGTGCTTCTAGGACTTGTGTATATATTTTTTTCAACAGGTTAGGGAAGTTTTCAGTCATTTCGCCTTCAAATAGGATCTCAATGCCTTGGTCTCTCTCTTCTCCTTCTGGTACTCCCTATGATGCAGATGTTGTTAGGCCTGAGGTTGTCTCAAAAGTCCCTTAAACTATCCCCATTTTTAATTTAATTTAATTATTTTAAAGATTTATTTATTCTTAGAGAAAGGGGAAGGGAGGGAGAAAGAGAGGGAGAGAAACATCGATGTGCAAGAAACACAACAATCAATTGCCTCTTGTACACCCCCAACTGGGAACCTGACCCACATCCCAGGCATGTGCCGAGTGGGAATCGAACCTTTTGGTTCACAGGCCAGTACTCAATCCACTGAGTCACACCAGCCAAGGCAAAACTATCCTTATTTTTAAAATTTTTTTCTTTTTGTTGCTCTGATTGGGTGTTTTCTGCTACCTTGCCTTCCAAATTGCTGATTTGATCCTCTGCTTCATTTAATCTGTTATTGATTCTTTCTAGTATAATCTTCATTTCAGTTTTTGTATTCTTCATTTCCAAGTGGTTCTTTTTTATGGTTCCTATGTCCTTTTTTATGCTTGCTCTCTCTTTGTGAAGTTTTCATGAAGTTCCTTAAGCATCCTTACAACCAGTGTTTTATACTCTGAATATGGTAGATTGCTTGCCTCCATTTCGTTTAGTTCTTTTTCTGGAGTTTTGTCCTTTTCTTTCATTTGGGCCATGTTTATTTGTCTCCTCATTTTGGCTGCCTCTCTCTATTTTTTTTCCTATGTATTAGGTAGATCTGCCATATCTCCCAGTCTTGGCATGGTGGTCTTATGTAGTAGGTGTCCTGTAGGACCCAGTGTTGCAGTCTCCCTGATCCCCTGAAATGGGTGCTCCAGGAGTGTCCCTTGCATGTGTTACGTGTGCTCTCCTGTTGTAGTTGAGCCTTGATTGCTGTTAGCATGTCTGTGGGTAGGGCTGACCCTCAGGCTGGCTGGATGTGTAAGGATAGGCCATGACCACAGCGTACAAGCTACTGTGTAGGAGCTGACCCTATGAAGTGGAATTTGCCCTGCAGGGTCTGGTGCCTGCTGAGACCTCCCTCCGAGTGTGCTACTTGTGGAGCAATTGGGTGGTGCTCTGTTGTGGTCTGAGGTCAGCAACAGTGTGTGTCGATTCTGGGACCTCTTAGGACCTCACTGTTTAGTGGGGATCTTTGCAGCTAAGACATCCCTTTGGATTCTCAACTACCTCACATGGGTGTGGGACCAGCCTGTTTTGTGTTTCTACCTCTCCTACCAGTCTCCACATGGCTTCTCCTTTATATCCTTACTTATATGACTTTTGTTCAGCTAGTCTTCAGATCATTCTCCAGGTTGGCTGTTATAATTTAATTGTAATTTTGATGGGGTAATGAGAGGACATGAGTGCAGCTCCCACCTACTCTGCCACCTTGGATGCTCTCCTGCAATTTAATGATGTTTAACTGGCTTAATTAGGAGCAGTTAGCACAGACCAAACCAGATCAAAACCCTACCACCACCACCCAAATAAACAAAAACTGAAGTTGAATACTTTGAAAACAGCCATGAAAATAAAAAGATAAACGTAAGCACAAGTCCCCTCTATGGAATCAATGTACTGTTTTGATGGTTTTTAGCTAAATAAAGCAGTAAAGAATCAGGGGTCAGTCTAGGCCCATTGATAACCATGGCATCTCCATAGCCAGTTTATAAGCCCTGGTAACATCTGCAGTCATGTGTGCCAGAGGAAGGAAATGCGGTCCAGCTTGCTCCTTGTTGGCACTTCTAACTTCACAGGAGATTGATGCTTACCTCGGAAATCATACAGCCACTATTGGGCCATGTGACATTTACATGTCTTCAACTCATACACTTTATGTGTCCTCAACTCAAATTCTACTCATGACCACAGGAGGTGGACACAGACATAAGTGAGGATACAGATGCTCATAGAGGCTAAACAACTGTCTAATGGTGCAGGGCTGGAGAGTGGCAACCCTGGAACTGAAACTCAGGTCCGCTGGCTCCAAACCCGTGTCCCTCTGCAGAGGCTGCCACACACTGACTGCATCATGCACACCCAAGAGACTGGCAAAAACCTACTTCCAGGGCCATCCTAAGGCACTCCCAAGCATCTGAGTCAATAGATCAAGAAAGCTCTGTGACTTCAAACTTTTTTGATGGTGGTTCAGTGAGAATCACATTTGACACTAATGCCCAGTAAAAACCAGGCAAACCACATATGTGTGTGGTGTGTATGTGTATGTACACACATACATATATGTATATAATTACTGAAGCAACACAACTTAAAAAATATTTATCCTTACAACATGATAAGCACTGTGATGTTTTCCATCCCATTCTATTCTGTTTCATACTTTAAAAATCTGGCTGTAAACCACCAAATTGATTTCATGATCACCAATGAGTACCAATCACAGTTTGCAAACAGTGATCTGGACTGTTCTCAGGCCCAGGGTGGGAGTTCTCTGGCCTCTCTCTTGCTGCCTTCTACTAACTGAGAAATGGCTGATTGGTAGCTTAGTCAGGGAAAATGGCAATGGGACCACATACCCTAAGAATAATAGCAAAATACTTATCTTTCTTTCACACATAATTCCTCACAGTGGCTCACGGCATCCTTGTAGGGCACTAACTCCATTTTAAGAGAGGCTCAGGGATAGATATGATCTGCCCATGGGTACCTAGCCAGGACCTGGCTCCAGGGCACTCACAGCTCCTCCTCCTGTGAGCACCCCTGGGGAGACAGAGCATTTGTTTTGGTGGACAGAATCCGGGCAATTGATTTCTGTAAGTAAAGCTCTGCCCTTCTCCCATGTCCAGGCCTGCCAACCTCCTGTTCTTGCAGTGACAGGAGAACTTTCATATTTGCCTTTTCAGCTCTTCAGTATGTAAAGCAGAGTGTGGCTGCTGAGGTCCCAGTCAGGTTGGCTAACATAAATCCTCTGGCTTTCCCAGGCAGCCAGAGCCCAGCTTGTAATCTGTGTCTGCTTAAGGGAGCAACTTTCTGGTGAGATGAGCAACCTACGGTCTGTTTTAATTGTGGATAAACCATGCACCCTGGGATACTCCAGGCAGGAACAGGAAAATCCTAGATTTGGGTGTGCGACACATGAGGATTAGTGGCAATAAATAAAATTCTTTTTTCCCCTTCTAATGCTGGCATGTATCGGCCCTAAGCACTCACCCAGGGACCTTCCAGGATAAGCAGAACCAGTTAAATTCAGAAACAGACACACTTGAAAAAAACAATCACCACAGTTCTGTTTTATTCTAAGGTGTGTAAGTGGTCCCAATCAAGGAAAATTAATTTGGATTACATAACGGCACTGCACTGTCATTGTCTCTCTCTGAATCCTGTATTCTCTCTTTGCTGCAAAGAAACGATTGCAACAGATTTTTGTTGACAATGAGGGTGGATATGATAGCTGTTCTCTGCCCTGATATGATAGCGAGGGAGAATCCAGTACTAGCCAGCACCCATCCATGGGAGGGGATGAGTTAATCCACCAAACACTGGGGGGCTCTGTATGGGAACAATGGCAGATGGCAAAGAAACGTAAAAAAGTCCACCCTCGTGGTCCCTGTAATTGAAATGTGGCGGCGCCTGCCTTGTTCCCTATGACATCTCAGGCCTAGCACTATGGCTAGCATGTAGTAAGTGCTCAATAGTCAGTTATTGAATGAATAAACACATAAAGAACCTTTTGTCACTAGCAGCATTTCTCAAAGCATATTCTGTGGAATGCAGAGAGTGCTAATGCTCAGATAATTCTGGTTAACAAGGTTTGTTGTTGCAGACATTAGAATCTTCAATGTGCCAAAGTGCACTGTGTCTCTCTTGAGGGAAACAAATCTTTACTAAAATTCATCAGACCACAGACATCCTTTTCTCTGGGTTTTTCACAGGAATGGTGTCATTTGGGAAATGCTACATTTCATCCCGTCTACTGGTGATGCCCATGTTCACCACCCTTGTGCCCTGCCCAAATCAAGGGGTGAAAAGGACCAACAGGGCTGGGTTGAGAAGGGGGTGCTGGGTGGCTAGCTAGGCTCCTCACTGGCTCACTGACTCCCAGCTAGACCAGTAAGATGTCTAATGATGGTACATCATGAGATTTTGTTCGGGAAGCTCAAAAATTATGGAAATCAATACTATTTAATCCAGGCTTCAATGGTCTGTTGTCTAATTTTTTCACACACTTATCTCCGGCTTCCCCAGATGTCAGAAGGATGAGCTTGTCCCAGGCAGCCCCTTTGTGGGGAGACTCGGATGAGCCCTCAGGGCCTAGAATCCCCTCGCATCTGACCTAGCAGCCCTGTTGTACGGATCATCACAACTGAGGCAGTGTGCAAAGGGAAGGCACTGGCCCCTGAAATGTGAAGCAAGGCCAGGCTGAGCCTCACTAACAGAGGCGGACCTCCTTTACCTGAACAAAGCTGAACTCCCTCCAGTTGAGCGAGTTGGCAATGGATGGCAGCGAGGTGACAGCCAGTAGGGACAGCGTGCCAAGGGCCAGGACTCCCAGGGAGAGATATATCTCCATCCGCCAAACATTTTCCTCAACCCAGAGGTGACTCTTGTTGGTCAAAACCTGATGTGGATGGAAGGAAAATCATGAACATTGGGGTACTGGTGGGTGCCCTGGGATGTGGGCGAGCAAATACCTTCAGATGTAAGACAGAGTAATGGCTAACATTTCCACCACACAGGACAGATGCCTGGCTCTGTTCTAAGCTCTTTTCAAGTATCAGATCATCTAATCCTCACAACCACCTCCCAATGTATAGGTCCTTCTTATCCCTATTTTACAGAACAGGGAAAAGAGACAAAAAGATGAAGCACCTTCCCCATGGTCACACTCAAATGGGAAAGGGCAGGGCTGGGATCCGGCAGTCTGGCTCCAATGGCATGGGCTCCCTCCCTTCACAGATCTGCCTGGGCCAGTCAACCAGACTGGTCACATGAGCCAGGTAAGAGTAAGAGAAATCAACAAGACATACAGACCCTTCAAACATGACCATATCTTAGATTTTCTGGCCCCCAAATCCCCAAAAGAAGGGAGAGAGAAGCTCTCCTATCTTAGAATCCTGTCAGCCAGATGGTATCACGTTGGCGCTGCCTGCTTGCTTCCTGGACCCTTTGCCTTCCTGGTGCCTCAGCTAGCACCCATCACTGCCTCGCCCTCAAGGGCACACAAAGACACACAGACACTAACAGTTCCCGAGACAAAGCCTCAGGCTCCCACTTTCCCACCCAGATCCCCATTTCTGTGTGATGCATGTAGCTTTGGCTTTAGCTTACCAATGCCAGGCAACAGAGACTGACATCCACTCACCAAGCATACCAGTGGGCATTTATAAAGTACCTACTGTGTGCCAGGCCCTGGGCTGCAGAGAGCAAGGATACCTGCCCTCACAGAGCTTTGGGACACCCCACTGAGCTCCAGGGACACATAGATCTGAGACTGATGTGGACTTGGAGATTCCTACCTCCTCCCTCACCACCCAGAGTTGTCTTTGTAGCTGAGCCCCCTCCCAGGCTGACAGACACTCACACATACAGTGCACCCATGAGGAAGAAGTTATAAAGGTCCTTCCATTATAACCACCATTTCCAAACTAGACCAGGTAGCAGAGTTCCTGGAAGTCAAGGTGTTCTCTGAGAAACACTATGAAATGCTGGTACTTTAATTCTACCAGCAGGACAAGGAGGAGTATTTCCATTAGCAAATATGACAATGCTTTGGTAGGCAGGCCTCTGCTTTGCAAAACAGAATGACTCATACAGGCTTTTGAGAAAGTATTTCAGCAGGAAAAAATAACTAAGCCCAGTAACCAGATAAAATATTAAAAGTTAATCTATTGGGCTGAACAAGGTTGAAAGCTTATGAGATAAAGTGTAAAAAACTGAGAAAAAGCCATCCATTGGGTACTTTTCCTGCACTTTGAGAAAAATGACTGCCTCTGTTCTAACTTGGGGGGACTGGCTCATTTTGGTGTCTTTAAGGCTCAAAAGAACCAGGAGTCCAGGGACCCAGCTTCTCCTCCTGACCATGAGTCATCTGTGGCTCTGGGCTTCCTTTTCTCCACATGAGAGAGTTGGGTGAAGTCATGTCTAAAATCCTATGACTCTGCTAGTCTACCAAGCAAATGTCAGTAGCAGCTAGAAAGGTGGCTGATATTACCCCACAGAGGGCAGATGGCTTCTGCGTAACAGAGCCTAAATAAGTCTTACTCACAACTTCACAGCATTAGTAACCACTAAAGTCAGTCATCTCCTTGTTGCAAGTTGTTTGTTCTTCAAGTATACTTTATTAGTCACTACTTCTGCATTTTGGTAAAATCAGGCACTTAATGTCACAAATCAGAGTTTGGATGATTATACACACACCACACAGTTTCCTGCAAAATGTCTTGTTTTTTTCCTTTCATATTTCCACTCTGCAGGGATGCTGGGAAAGCGGAGAGCCCTGGGGAAGAGGGGTGGCGAGGGAGCAATGGATGGCTCCCTCAAGGTGGAGCCTGCCTGAGGATCTGGATCCAGCTCCCTTCAATAGCCTGTGAAGGGGAGCCCTGAGTATAGCACTGGGGTTCAGTAGGCACCTACTGAACCCCAGTGCTATACTCAGGGCTCCCCAGTGCCCAGTGTCACACAGGGCTGGAATACAGATCTAGCAGCTCTCCATTCCCTTAGTAATTCTCCCATGTTTAGAGCTAACCAAAGCGGCCACCTTGAGAATGATGAGTGTTGTTCATCAACAGATGATGAAATGCTGGCTGGGGTTCACATGGGGTTTCCTTTCCTCATAGGTTGCAGGTTAGATGTTGAAGGACCCAGGGCCAGGAGGGCTAGCAGGCACTTCAATGTCAGCCCCTCTCCATGTTCCAAGGGTGGGTGATGGGTGGGAAGAGTGGTGCCGACTCAGAGGAAGGGGGAGGCAGGATGCAGAAGGGGCAGCCTGCAGTGGGGGGCAAGGTAGGGGGAGAATGGCCTCGCAGTCTCAAAGCCTGGATTCCAATGCCAGCTTTGCCCTGAGGGCAGTCATGGGACCCTGACTAATGGCAACATTGTCTTTTTCTCACTGTACTGTTGCAAGGACTAAAAGGAGGATGTTTGTGGAACAAGTAGCATGTGACTAGTACATACTAGGTGATCAATGAGAGTGGTTGGTGCTGTTGTTACTGATGAGAACTGGGCAGCTAGACTGGTTCTTGCTCCAAGTTCTACATGTACTCCTGTTAAGAGATGCCTGATATTGGCTTTGTGATGGCCAAGTTAACAATCAGCCACTCAGTGAACATGTAGTAGGAATCTGTGTTACAAGCCATGAGCCTCAGTGGGTGAAGAACTATTGACGGAACTGTGCCAGCAGGAAGACATGCATGCAAATGAGTGAGTACAAAGTATTGCATAAGAAAAATCCTAAAAGTGTAGACAACGTACATTTTATGAAGGTGAGCATGGAGCATGGGGGAGATAGACTGAGGAGCTTAACAGAAGAAGGGTTTTGAAGGAACAACAGGAGTTTGTCAGGCTGTCAAGGTGTCTCAGGCTGGGGAGCTCATTCACAGAACAGCATGGGACCCAGTGTGACAGGCCATGGGGACTGTGGGGGGACGTGGCTGGGAGAGAGGGAGGCTGCATCGTGAACACTTTATCATTAACCCAAGGGCAGTGGGGCCTCAGAGGGCTTTGCAGCAGTGACATGATCAAATATGTTTTAGAAAGGTCTCTCTGACAGCCTAGACTGGATTTGGGGTAAGGGGGAGAAGAAAACTGTTGGTTAAACATGTTCTTTGATCGATTTGAAATACATTTCTAGGGAACCATACAAACAAATCAGAAAACACTGTGCAATTATTACTTATTTTCCATAATAATACAGTCAGTAAACATGGTCAGAGAGATTTTCTCTACAGCTGGAATACAGCTCTGCCTCCAAGTCTGCAGACTCATGGGCTTGAAAGAAACCCTGCAGTCTCCTGTACCCTGGCTAACATGATCCCTTTCCCCAAAGGCCAGTAGGGTAGCCAGGATGGTGAGCACTCACCCACAGGAGGTCCCGCGAGGGTAGCGCAAGGGCTGGATGGGAAAGTACACATCAGGCACCCAGAGCCCTGCTGTTAGGGGCTGAATGCAGAACAGCCTCAGTTGCCCAGTCTCAGAGCCTGAGGACAAGGCTGATCTGCAGACTATCCAGCACCTGTTTGAACACCTCCAGGTAAGGCAACTCACCACTTCTGGGCTGCCCTCTCTGCTCTGTGTTAATCCCCCATCTTCCCCTAACCATCTCCCCTCCCCAACATACCCAATCAACCCTGGCTCTGCCCTCTGGAAATCTGCAGAATAAGTTTAAGGCCTCTTTTGCGTGGTAAGCCTTTGCTGTCTCTGAGAGTGATCCAGTCCTGTGGGAGTGATGGTTGCCTGGCAACCTCCACTGGGGCCTCCAGTCCTAAGGAACTTTGGAATTGGAGAAAATTACCTGGCATGTGTCACTCAATGCCCTGGTATTTGCATTCTGGCAACACTGGGTTCATATACTATCAAAGAGAGCCTTGGCAGGGTGGAGAATTTAGAGAAAGGCCATCAGAAGGGAGGGCAGTGGAGCATGAGTTTGCCTTGGGCTCTGGCAGGGAGGAGCATTACCTTCTTCCCCACCCACTGCCTGAAATGCCTGCCGTCCTGATCTGCCACCTCCTGGGCAGCAAACACTATGCCAGTCCCGAAGGAACCATACAGAGCTGCCCTTTACAGAAGACGGTATCATCAAAGAGCATCAAAACTTTAGCACTAGGAGAGACCTTAATCTATACATCAGGATCCGGAGGACAAAAGGGCGGGCTGTGACTTGTTCAAGGTCAAGGTCTTTGTTCCAATCAGTGATGCTTGAGGACAAGAGCTCAGGGCTCTGGCCTTCGGACCCCCCAGGGCTCCCCACTCCAGCCAGAGAAGGAACAGGGCTGTCTAGTCTTATTTCCTTCTGTGACCCCAAGGCCTGGGAGAGTAGATGCTCAGTGAATGAACGAGATAATGACCTGAGTTCTAGGATCATACACTTAACTGTTCATCTGTATTTGTTTCCCCTACAGAAAGCAGCATGGCTATGAACACGGATCTGGAGAACAACTGGACCTGAATCCCAGTTCTTCCAATTACTGGCTGTATGACTTTGGTCAAGTTACTTAACCTCTCTGTGACTCAATTTTCTCATATGTAAAATGAGGGTAGTACAGCATCTAGCTTACAGGGATGAGATAAGGGTCAAATGAATTCACACAGAGGCCCTGGCTGGTATGGCTTAGTGGATTGAGCACCAGCCTATGAACCCAAAAGTCACTGATTTGATTCCCAGTCAGGGCACATGCCTGGGTCGCAGGCCAGGTTACTAAGTTGGGGGCTCATGAGAGGCAACTGATTGATGTATCTCTCACACACTGATGTTTCTCTCCCTCTCTTTCTCCCGCCCTTCCCCTCTCTCTAAAAATAAGTAAAATCTTTAAAAAAGAAATAAAAAAAAAAAAAAAAGGAATTCACACTGAGGATGTAAAGACCAGCAAGCTATTTTTAAAAGTTTGTGATTATTATTTTTCCCCTTCCTCTCATTTCCAGCAGGTATCTTGCTTCTTTGCCTGAAGTTTGGGGTCCTCCCTTTTGCTTATGGAAGCCCAAGCCCACAGATGCATGATGCCAGCTGTCTGTGGGTGGGAAAAGACAGGGGCGTTTGAGAAGCTGCCAGGAGGGAAGCTGAGAATGAGTAGCAGCTAAGGTCTGTGGTTCACAGGCAGTGACCCAACCTGGCCTCCTAGTCCTGCTCTGGGATATGGCCCAGCCACTTAGGGGACAGTTTCATGGTGGCTGTACCTGGGGAAGACACAGCCCCACCGGAATCCCTGCCTTCTCCCAAGCTGGAACAGAAACTGCAGGGACCATCGGGGCTAGAAAGGAGGGTGGATGTCAAGTGTCTTACTGGCACCTGGGCCAAACTCTGTTGGGTAACTAGTGTCCTGGAGTGGACACCAGTCCAGGGGCTGGGAACTGGAGGAACTAAGCAGGTTAGGGAAACCACAGAAAGGTAGTGTCACTTGCAGACCTGAGTCCGGGACTCAGAATCGGCCCTGTGAGCTTGTAAACCAGAAGAGAGCACCAGGGCCCTGTTTGTCCGTACAGTTGCCAGCTGATGCTGCCTGTTGCTACCTGGCTTGGCCTGAAAGCCCACCCATTTCACCGGACTCCTGCTGGCAAAAGAGCAGCATGCAGGTTTCTTAAATGAGTGAAAAATTACTACCCCCACCAAAAAGTAATCTTGCTCCTGCAGCCTTCCCCATCTCAGCTGCTGGCAACACCATTCCTCCAGGTGTTCAGGCCAAAATCTAGGAGTCATCTTTGACAAATCCTGTGTCCATAAGCAATACTCTGGCTTCAATACCACCCCACTGCTCCACAGCTCCCACCCCTCCACAGCTCCCACCCCACTCTAAACCTCCATTGCCTCACATCCAGGTTCCCACACAGCCCTGAGGTGTTCTCTCAGCATCTGCCTCTGACCCCTATTGTCTATTCTACACCAACACCCAGAGTGAGCCAGTTAAAGCATCGGATGGACCATCAGTCCTCTAATCAGGACTCCCTATTTCACTGAGTCTAAGGCTGAAGCCTGTCCTCAGCCTTCAAGGCATCCTTGGTCTGGCTTCAACCTGTTAGGCCACACTCCTCTCCCCCTTGCTCGGCTCCAGGCAGATGGCCTCCTGGCCGATCCTCACATGTGCCAGGGAGCACCCAATTAAGGCCTCTGCTGCTCTCCTTCTGGTTGTGGACTCGCTCTCACCACCTTCCTGCCTTTGCTCACCTACCACCCCTTAGCAAGGCCTCCCCTGACCACCCTTTAACTGCTCTCCCCTGCTTGATTTTTCTCCTTAGCACTCACAACCTTCTGAAAACTCTCTATAACTTACTGCTGTATTTGGTTAAGTCTCCCCTGCATGGGCAGTGCTCAAGAATATAGGGATTTTCATATTTTGTTCACTGATACTCAAAATCTTAGGGTGCAGGACATGGGCACTTCCCAGTCAGGGAAGAATCACAGGCTAGTGACAAAGACAAGACAGTGACTGGCAGACTACAGCCACAGGCATGGCTGGCCTTTGTACAGGGCATAGATGTGGGCTGTACCTGCTTGACGGCAAGGTTGACCAGGTCATAGCGGTAGGAGAGGCGCACTGGCAGGCAGACGCTGTAGATGGCGTGCAAGGAGGCGCAGAAGAAGCTGAGCAGGCCAATCTGCTTGCGGTGCTGCAGCCAGTGGTCCAGCCAGTCAGGGAAGCGGCGGTACTTGGTGCCACGCCACAGCTGCAGGGTGGCTGCCAGCGTGCCAGGCAGGTAGACCAGTGACAGCAGCACATAGGCAACGCATGGCAGTGTCGTGTTGACCACAGACAGGGGGAGCTTGTAGAACTTGTTCTTGCCCTCCTGCACGTAGGGCTGCAGTACATCCCGGATAAAATTGTAGGCGTAGAAGAAGATGAAGAGCCACAGGGCCAGGATGGTAGGCACCTTCCAGCTTGGGAGGAGGTGCAGAGGCATGGCCTCCACCTCCCGGGCTGAGGCCAGGGACCCCATGTCCACAGGCATGAAGCCCATGGCGTGTGCCAGCTCTGAGACAACACGCTTGGCTTCTGGCTGATCACTACAGATGGGTACCTGGGGGAGGAAGAAGGGGAATCAAATAGGCCACTGGGGTGGGCAAGGCCTCAGAGAACATCAGGGCCAAACTCTTCACTGTGCAGCTGAAAAACCGAGGCTAGGCTGCCCCAACTAATGGTATAGCTGAGAGCAGAGGTGGCTCTGACTCCTAGGGCAGGGGTATTTCCTTGCTCCCTTGGGGTCTTCCAGACTCGGCCCAGCAATGCTCTCTACTCAAGAAGACCACCCGGGGCTCACCTAGCAGTGACCATTCTGTCAAGTTCATTACCATCAGCCTCCACCTAGGTAGCCCCTATGGGCCCCTGGAATAGGTGTTTTTAGGACTGTGGTCTGCCCTGCGGTGTCATTCAGCAACTGGTCTCTTTACATGTAGCTATGAGTGCATTTCTATCCCTCAGTCCAGAAATGTCTCTTTGGATCATGTTCCTCAGCCCCCTGTGGCTGTCAGCCAATACACAAGGTCTTCCACAAGCCAGCCCCGAGCCTCATAGTCCACTGCTTCCCTCCATGGGCCTTGCTGGTACTGCTATGGTCAGTCTCGTCTTCAAACACTGACCCAACACGTACTGTGTACTGATTTGCTATCCCTCAGCCCTGCCACAGGCCTATAGATAGGTACTATTGTCCCAATTTTTCAGGTGAGAAAACTGAGGTCTGTGCTTTTGCAGGTTGTTTCCTCAGCCTGGAATGCCCTGCTGCTCCCTCTATGTAACAACATGATGTAGGCCAATGCCTAGGTCAACCTCAAAGTCTTCCCCAGCCAGCCACTAGTTCTCTTCCCTCCAGACCTCTCCACCTAACACTTACCCACTGTTTCTGACCTGTCCACACATGGAAACCCTATAATGCAGGCTGCGTATAGGACCCTGCAGACAGGGATGTCCAGGCACCTGTGTGCTCTCGCACAGCCTGGCGCGGAGCTATGTAGAGGACGCACCTGGGCTGAACTCATTGGAAGTTCTCACACACATATGGATCCTGGTTCATTCCTCCAGAAAAATGTTTGGGCTCTTGATATTCAAAACCACCTTGACTTGGTCAGAGCTCCTGTCAAGAACTGTATGCAGCTCCGGCCATTCTCTGGAGCCATTTTCCACCCTCAGAAAAACCTGCTATTGACTATTTTGAGAAATCTACTCATTCCTTGGAAGCTCTTGGAATAAACAGATGAAAACTTGGGACACATATGCTTGGCTTGGCACTTAAGTGTGTTACTTTCTCTATTCTGAGTCCAATTCTAGAAGCAAAGTTTGTTCTTTTCTTGACTCTAATCATAAAAAAACCATCAACCTTTTCCTCCCTGCCCCCTAGGTAACTAAGGTACTATAGAAGAAAGAATATGAAGTTCAGATTTGTATTCATAGGCGCTGGGTTTAAATCCCAGCTCACCAACTGTGGGACTTGGAGGAAGTTCATGAAAATCAAATCCCTCCTCCATAAAACAGAACTTTGCAGTGATGTGGAATGAGCTGAGACAATGAGCACAAAGAGCTTCATAATCTGAGGGTCCTCAAGGAAAATTAGCCATTTATATTTACTATGATGATGGCTGTTATTCCCCCAGCACCCACCTGTCTGTTCCCATCCCTCGGGCCAGCCTGCAGGGTCCAGGCTGAGATGACATTGAAGGCCTTGACCACGGTGCAGGTGGGGAAGAGGGAGGCCAGGTATTCAGCATTGGAGTCACGATGTTGAAGGTGCTCCTGCTCAGTGGGATTGCTCACATCCACCAAGATCTTGCCAGCCAGCTGGTCACTGAGAACACACAGTGAGGAGTAGTGCTCCCGGAACGTGGCCACAAAGATGACCTCAGGGGAGCCTACTGCCTCGGCCTGGAAAGTCACTTGTGCTGATGATGGGAACAGCCCAACTATGCGTTTGGGGTTGCGGCTTCCCACCACCACACTGAAGCCAGACCTCACCAGGCATGTGGCCAGAGAGCGGGCAAAGTCCCCACTACCCAGGATGCCCACTTTGGGGGTCTCATTAGAGGCCTCGGCCAGGCTGCCATCACTGTCCACCAAGCGGCGGCTGATCAGTGGCTTGTCCATCTCTTCCGGGATTTTGTTGGCTAGAAGAGAAAAGAGGAACCTGGTCAATGCAGGGCTCCTGGACTGTCCTTCCTATAACCTCTGTCTTTCGTTCACTGTAGCTGCATGGTGGTCAAACATTCACCCAACAGGCCTTCGTGAGTGCTGGCATATGCCAGCATGGGGAGATAAGCTGAACGAGACCAAGCTCCTTCCTGAGGAGTATGCACGTTCAGGAGGAAGAGAGGGAAGGAAGGACTTCTGCCCCCTACCCTTTGTCCTTCCTGCTAAATTACTTCTTTGGGACAAATGTGCAAGAGTAAGAGTGCTGAGAAAGAAGGGTATGCAATTTTCACGATCATACTGTGCGACACCATGGTTATTTTCAAAAGAATTATGTGATAGACAATGTTACTATCCATAGTTAAACCCCAACCTCACCATTTTTGGGTGTTAGCCTTGATCACCAGGAAGGGTAGACATGTTCCTCTGCTTGTTTACATTGTACATTTTGGAATCACATCTCTGATACTCTTCCTTAAGTAGATGTTGAGTAGCTTGAACACAAAGACCTTACCTTATTTGACTCTGGATCTCACCATTTGCCACAAGGCTGTTGCTCAGTATTTGCTGAATGAATTAATAAATAATGAAATCCCACTCTCTGGGGGGGAAGGGGGAGTTGGTCAGGACACTGAATAGGATCCTGAGATTGGATGGGTGCCCTGGGATCTCCTTCACTGAGCCTGAGGTATGAGTGGACATGGAAGAAACCCTGGACTTGGACCAAGAGTTGATAGTAAAATTATTGGGAAAAATTGTATTTTAATTATCACCATGTTCTTACTGAAATTTGCTATTTCCTTTATGCACAAATGTAAGCAAAAGCCACAGCAGTAGTCACAGTGATTTTGTCATCTATACTGACCAATGTGGTAGCACAAATCGTGAAAGTTTTCCAAATATTGCTTCAGTTCATCACTAATTTAAAATCATTGTAAATAGGATCATCTAAATATATAGAGCATCTAGATATATATAGATATATAAATATATAAATAGGAGCATCTAAATATATAAAGACAGAAAATCAGTATGGAAACTTTAGACAGCCTTGTAGCTTCCTCATGTGTACATGGAACATTCACCAGGACAGATCATATGTTAGATCATAAAACATCTTAACAAATTCAAGGAGGCTGGAATCATATCAAATAACTTTTCTGACCACAACAGCATGAAACTATAAATCAGTAACAGGAAGAAAACTGAAAATTTCACAATTATGTTGAAATTAAACATACACCCTGAACAACCAATGAGTGAAAGAAGAAAACAAAGGGAAATAAAAAGAAAAATCTGAAACAAGTGAAAATAGAAACCAAAACTTTTGTGATACAGCAAAGCAGTTCTGAGAGGGATATTAATAGCCTAATTAAGAAAAAATATCTCAAACAACCTAACTTTACACTTCAGGGAACTAGATAAAGACCAAACTAAATCCAAAGTTAGCAGAGGAAAGAAACAAAAAGATCAGAGTGGAAATAAATGAAATATAAGCTAGAAACACAATAGAAAAAAGTCAACAAAACTAAGACATCTTGTTTTGAAAAGATAAACAAAATTACAAATCTTTAGTGAGACTAAAAATAGGAAATAAATAAAATAGGAGAAATTACTACTGATAGTACAGAAATACAAAGTAACATAAGAGACTATTATGAACAATTATATGCCAATGAATTGGATAACCCAGAAGAAATAGATAAATTCCTAAAAACAATCTACCAGGACTAGATCATTAAGAAACAAATTCTGACAGGCAAATAATGAGTAAGAATATTGAATCAGTAATTTAAAATCTCCCGAAGAAAAAGTCCAGAACTGGATGGATAACTCACTGGTAAATTCTACAAAATATTTAAAGAATTAATGCCAGTCATTCTCAAACTATTTTCAAAAACTGAACAGGATGGAGCACTTCCAAGCTCATTTTGTGAGGTCAGTATTATCTTGATATCCAAAATAAGAACACTGTAAGAAAAGAAAATTACAGGACAATATCCCTGATGAATATAGATGCAAAAATTCCCAATAAAATACTAGCAAACAGAATTCAATAGCACATGAAAAGAATCCTACATCATGATCAAGTGGGATTTATCCCTGGAATGCAAAGGTGTTTCCACATATGCAAACCAATAAATGTGACACACCACATTAACAGAATTAGGGATAAAAGTCATATGACCATCTCAATAGATGCAGGAAAAAAAAGCATTTGACAAAACTGAATATCCTTTCATGATAAAAACTCTCAGAAAATGGGTATAGGAGAAATGTACCTTAATACAGCAGAGGGCATCTATGACAAGCCCATACCTCACACCATACTCAATGGTAAAAAGCTAAAAGCTTTCTGCCCTGGATGGTGTGGCTCAGTGGATTGAGTGTTGGCCTGTGAACCAAAGGGTCACTGGTTCAACTTCTAGTCTAGAGCACATGCCTGGGTTGTGGGCCAGGTGCCCAGTAAAGTGTGCATGAGAGGCAACCACATACTGATGTTTCTCTCCCTTTTTCCCTCTCTTTCCCTCTCTAAGAATAAATAAGTAAAATTAAAAAAAAAAAAAAAAAGCTTTTACTTTAAAATCAGGAACAAGACAGGATGCCCACTTTTGTCACTTCTATTCAACACAGTACTAAAAGTCCTAGCTAGAAAAATCAGATTAGAAAATAAATAAATAAAAGGCATCTAAATCGGAAAAGATGTAAAATTGTCACTATTTGCAGATGGCATGATCTTACATACAGAATATCCTAAAGAGCTCACCCGCAAAATTGTTAAAACTAAGAAACTAATTCTAAAAATTGTTAAAAAATAAGAAAGTTACAGGATACAAAGATCAATCTACAAAATCAGTTGTAGTTCTAGACACTAACAATGAACTACCTGAAAAAGAAATTTTACAAAATCTCATTCACAATACCATAAAAAACAAAAAACAACAAACTTAGGGATCAGAAGAATATTGTACAAATGTCCATACTACCCAGTGATCTACAAATTCAAAGCAATCTTTATCAAAATTCCAATGATATTTTTCACAAATATACAGAAAATATCCTAAAATTATACAAAAGACCGCAAATAGCTAAAGCAATCTTATGCAAGAACAAATCACACTTCCTGATTTCAAACTATATTACAAAGTTATGTTAATCAAAGTAGTACAGTGCTCTCATAAAAACAGACACATAGACTAATGGAATAGAATAGACAGCCCAGAAATAAACACACGTGTATAAAGTCAACTAATCTTTGACAAAAGTGCAAGAATACACAATGGGGAAACAACAGTCTCTTTAATAAATGGTGTTGGGAAAATGGCACGTCCTCATGAAAAAGAATGAAACTGAACCTTTATTTCACACCATACACAATATCAACTCAAACATTAGACCTGAAATTGTAAAGTCCTAGAAAAAAAGATAGGAAAAATATCCTTGATATTGGTGTTGGTAACAATTTTTTGGATTTGATACCAAAAGCACAGACAACAAAAGCAGATATAAAGAAGTAGGACTATATCAGTCAAAAAGGTTTTGCACAACAAAGTAAACAATCAACAAAATGAAAAGGCAACCTATGGAATGGAAGAGAATATTTGTAAAGCATTTGTCCTGTAAGTGCATGTCTGATATAGCCATACACTTGGATATATATGACAATATTCAAAAAAATATAAGAAATTCATAGAACTCAATAGTTTAAAAAAAATTGGGGGGAAAACAACAAAATAATCTAACTAAAAATGGGCAAAGGACCTGAATAGACATTTTCCCAAAGAACTACAAATGGCCAATAGGTACATGAAAAGACGCTCAACATCACTAATCATTAGGGAAATGTAAATCAAAACCACAATAAATAACACTTTACACCCGTTAGGATGACTATTATCAAAAAGTTGAAAGATACAAATGTTGGCAAAGATGTGGAAAAAAGGCAACCCTTGTATGCTGTTGGTAGGAGTGTAAATTTGTACAACCACTACAGAAAACAGTACAGAGCCTCCTCAAAAAATTAAAATTAAAACTATCTTATGATCCAGCAATCCCTCTTCTGGGTATTTATCCAAAAGAAACAAAATCACTATCTTGAAGGGAATTCCACACTCTATGTTCATTGCAGCATTATTCACAGTAGCCAAGACACAGGAAGAATTTGAGTGTCTATTGATGGATGAATAAAGAAAATGTGGTATGTATATACAGTAGAATATTATTCAACCTTAAAAGAGAAGGAAATCCTATGGGACATTATACTATGTGAAATAAGCCAAACACAGAAAGACATATATTATACAATCTCACTCATATGTGGAATCTAAAAAAGTCAAACTCACAGAAGCACAGAGAAGAATGGTCACCAGGGGCTGGCAGGTGGAGGAAATGGGGAGATATTGGTCAAAGGGTACAAATTTTCATTTATAAGATGAGTAAGTTCTGGAAATCTAAGTTCTAGATCAGCATGGTGACTATAGCTACTAATAATGTATTATAGACTTGAAATTTGCTAAGAAAGTAGGGAGATCTCCAGTGTTCCCAACTCATACAAATGGTTACTATGTGTGAGGTAATGAATGTTATTAGCTTGATTGTGGTAATTATTTCACAATGTATATGTATATCTAAACATCACATTGAATATCTTAATATAAACAATTTTTATTTGTCAATCATACCTCCTTAAAGGTAGGGAAAAATTTAAAAAATAAAATATAATCATAGTTGATATTAGACCAGCCACTAGATCTTTCTATTTAATATACAAATAAAGTGGGCATATTACTACAGCATATCGTTTTTAAAAAACATTTTAGAAGCTATGTTTCGATATAATTGGTTTCCTTTTTAACCCTATGTTATTTTATTTTATTCATATAAGAGCAGAAGTCCAGGGCTTCACCAGCTGATGGATCCACAGGGGTTCCTGGCACAGGGGTTCCTGGCACAGAAGGGTTCAGAACTGTTGCCTGGA